GATTCGCAGGCGAAGGCTCCGCCTTGAAGATACTCAGCTGCCGGGTATGAAACCGGAAGATGAGAGTAGTCCATCGGGCTTCCATATGGGATGCTATGGCACATGTATGGTGACCGAAGCTCGTCCTGGGTGTTTTGACTAGTGTTTCCAGAAGAAGTACGATCCGGTGATGCGTTGCGAAAGCAGTCTGCCGGAGGCCAGTGTTGCTCATATTGCTTCTCGTATCGACCGTCTGGGAACGGGATCTTTGCGTAAAGCATGCCTGGCGTAAGGGGGCTTTGCTCGTACAGGAAGCGTTGCATTGGCTGCATGCTGACAATGCCATTGTCGAAATCATCCAGGTAGCTCTCTTCTTCTATATGAAAACGCACTGCATGCTCTTTGCATGGTTGCATGTAGTTGGTGTATTCTGTCGCCCAGACGGGATAGCGCGGCTCGTCCATCGTCTCAATTTGTGGCAGGTCTCGGAACTGATGAGCGTCCATGGCTGATGCTCAGTCGTTGCACGGAACCGGGCAGGGGTAGCGATAGCGACTAAGTATCCCACGGCACCTAGAAGCCAAAGAGTATGGGGGAATGCGAGTGCCGTAGAAGTTCGACAGATACAAGATCTTCTGTTTGTAGAATCTTGCTGAGCAGGCGAAAACAGTCCTTCAAGTAGACGAGTGGTCAAGATATTTCGATGTCGTAGTTCTGCCGGCCAGAAGTAACCCAAGTACAGGGACTGGGAAAGGAGGCAAAAGAGGCGGAGCGTCAAGTGGGGGGTGTGACAGACCAAGGCAGCAAAGCAGAAAGCTAGTGTCAAGTTGCACTGCCGTAATCTTTCGTACCGTCTTTCTGTCCCTCGATGCCATGCTCTACAGTGTTTTATGGTGTTTGAGCCGCAGAGCCGCATTGTCAGCCACCCAATGAGAGCCCTTGTGCCTTGGCAATATGTACTCCCCTGTTCTCAGCTTGACCGGTGGGCCGCAGTGCACAGTTGTCCAGCCACCACTGCGCTGTACGTGAACTCTAGCACCTACCACGGACGGGTAGGATCAAGCCCCAGGATTAAGCCCCTAATCAAAAGCAATCTTGCTAGTAGTGGGCGGATCGCTACCCCATCGCGATGCGTCCAAGCCAACTTTTGTGCCAGAACTGCTTCCGCGGGCTGCACGTTCGCTAAGCTGTGGGAAGGACGAAGCGAGACCATGTGGACGTGAGCTGTGAGGATGCTAATCGCGGACCCACCAGTTTGAGCGTTGGGGGCCAAAACAAATAAGGAGATGAACGACGAAATGCAAAGACCCAAAGAACGAATCACGTACCTTTGAGTATCGCTGCTGTTAGGAGGCCGGACAGAAAAACCAGTAGTAAGTTGCTGTTGTGCTACCGCACCTGCGCCAGGGACGTGATTGTTCCGACAGCTGCCGCGCAACCGGAACGCTGATGAGAGGCCCAGGTCCCGATCAAGAGCAGAAAGCCGTCGTCGGTCGGAGGGTGCAGTATCACAGACTCTCATTGGGAGTCGCTGCATAGTGGCTCACCAGCTGGGGCGCATTTGGCTCAGGACGCTCGATTTAGGCATCAAGATAGGGCGAAGCATGGTTTCCCTGTCGAAGCAGTTGTCGTACGTTGCTGGAAGGCAGCATCATGGCACTAATGATGATGCTATCATGCCATGAGTGGCAGTAGAGATAGCGAGCGGATGCGCCTGGGCTGTTTCGACGGCTGTATGCACCCTCCAGTCCATTCGTGTTGTCGCCTCACGGCTCAGGCATCAAGCTCGATCCGCAAAGGAGTTTAGTCGGTAAGAGCTCCCAGTGTCTTGGGCTTTCCGGGCGCATTTGGGGGCGGTGCGTCCCGTGTCTCTGGTGATGGAGACTGGCGAGTGGTGGCGGGGAACTGTAGGTGGATTAGAAGGACTCGACGCTTGTGCGCCGTCGCAAGTCGAGAACAGCCCACTCGGATGACTTTGCGCTGCCCCTGCGTCGGCGCGGGGGTGAGACGACGTGACTATCTTCACAGCGTGTTTGCTGTCAAAGTGTCAAAACATTATCCGGCGGCTCTGCGCAGGGATTGAAAGATGCTCGAAAGTCTGGAAATAGCGAGACGCAGGAGATGCACCGCTCTTGGCACGGTATCCCCGCACATGGCTTGCAGGCCACACGGCCATGGCTGACCGTAAAGGCCGTACGAATGGGATAAGATGATGGTCATAGAAATTAGCTATCTCGTGCCGGTCGTCTGTATCGGGGGTCTTTGCGCAAAGTCAACGCGGGATACTAGCTTTGTGGGCCCTTTCTAGATATCTATGAACGCCATGGCGGTGCTATGGCCAGCAACTGATGCTCTGTGTCGGCATTATGCTCCAAGTTTGGCAACAAGGCGGTCTTCAATACCCTCCAATATCCATCGATGCTCTAGCACCTCCAGATTCTCGGCTTCGTTGAGAAACAGCTTATCCGGATCCTGCTCAGGACCCATCATGCCGCCCGCGCCTGGGTTGGCCATGGCCATCTGCTGAGAGACTTGGTTGGCAGCTTTAAATAACACTGTTAGCTTGACTGACTTGACCTGAGTAGGCAAATGCTCTTCCCAACATACCATTGTTGTTCCCCAGAATGAAGTTATAGACGGGCTGGAGCCCGAACAAAGTCAGGAAATACCATGACAAACTAGACACCCATCTGACGTCCAGGTCACGCGTGCCAACTCCAGATTGCAGCATAGACTTGAATTGTGGGGTCAACGGGAAGGGTAGTTTCACTGTGCATATCGGTTAGCAACAGATCAGATTTGCTTTTACAGCTCGGGAGCAGCCGAATGTCAGAATATGCCGACCAAACGCGCCAACTAGTCGCAATCATCATGCCGACGCATACAAGAGACCAGCCACTCGCTTCGCCCTAGAAGATAGCGCGTGTAGGAACTGCTTCAGAGCTAGGCAAAGCGAAAGGCCACGCAACATGTACTCCGGCATCGACATCCGACCAACGAACACGGGAATATGGAGGCTCGCTCGGCTCCATGTGAGACTCGGTCCTGTCGTTCGAAGGATTTCGGGATGCAAGAATACTCATGATCGCGAGCCGCTTTCCCCTAGGGTGCAGGAGTATTTATAGAAAGGCAGACTTACTGATAACAAAGCCAGAGAAGAAGGCATTGATCCATCCCATGATCAGAGTCTGTGGGATCATCATCGTCATCTGCCCCTTCATCATGCCCATCATGCCCTCCATCGCCGCAGGATCGCTCATAGGATTCGGCCTGGGTTTCCCCCTCAGCTCCGGCTCAGCCAAAAACTTCCCTTCCTGGTAGGCCTGCACCATGTACGCTTTGCGGGTCGCGAAGGACCCGGGTGAGAGGACCTGGGCATTCGTGCGCAGGTTGACGCCGCGCACGAGGGAGCGCTGTTGCCGGATCTTGGCGAGGTCGTGTTTCTTCGGGGTCGACTGGAGGAGTGTCATTGCGTAGTGGCGGAGGATGCCTGTCAAGACCTGGATGTATGTTAGCATCTTGTATATTCAGAAGAATTGAATGCACTGTACCATGACCACCGTAATGGGGAGCAGAATCCACCAACTGTAGAATTATCAGCCATCTTCGTCATGTACCCGCAAACACCAGAACGTACAACAGGGCGGGATCCCGATGGATCGTCTGAACTACAGGCTGTCCCATGGTGCCGGTAGTAGAGAGAGATGCGCGGGGTGCGGAGGGGGTGTGGGAGGGTGAAGGTCGGTGGTGGTGGTTGTTGCTCGACGATGATAGCTCGCCGCTGAGGCTCCGGCGGGATGTTGTGAGACCAGGGTCCGCGCTTTGCGCTTATGGAAAGGTGTCCAAAGCTACATCACCAACGCGCAACGAGCCCCAGGCTTCACGACTACCTCTGCTCTCGTTGTGATTACAGGAACTATAGAATTACAACTTCACGATGTCGGCAACACAGAAAATCGCAGTCCACTCCCTCGCCGGTATGCTTCCATCCCCGCCATCGCGACCATCTATGCATTCGCCTACAGACCATATCTAATACTCGCGATCAGACCTCAAGAACACGACCGACGACGCCCTCCCCAACTACCTCAACAGCCTCAAGTTCAAGCAGATCCACACACAGACCGATGTGCGGTTAGTCCTCGGCTACACGGCCGTCACCATCGCCGGCGCACTCTTCTACTACGACTGGAAGTTCGGCTGGGAAGCCAGCAAGCCCTACACACTGCCTGCTGTCGTCGCATACTTTCTGTTGAACACCGCATTCAGCTATTGGCTATGGTTCGTGGAGAAGGGTGTAGTGTATGAGGGAGAGGGCAAGACAGGCAGGGTATGTCCACATGCCCCATTTCCGTACCTATGTGTTGAACAATACTGACAACATCAAGGTGAGGATATCCTCCTCCACAAAGAAGCACATTCCAATCTACGAGTGCGACGTCGTCTTCACACCCGCCCCCTACGCCTCGAATCCCAAACAAACGATCCACATCCGCGCGCCCCTGACCCGGTGGTTTACCTCGGATGGCTACTTTGTCGCGAAACCCTTCCAGCAATGGCTCGCTTCTGAAGTGCCCGTGATCGGCGCTGCGGACCCCAACAACGTGGTAGAAGAGATTGGTCGCGGAAGTGCGGGCATGGACCAGACGATGAACCTGAACAGCTCGAATGCGGTGGACATCTTGCAGCAGCTCAAAGCAAGTGGTGCCAAGTTTGCGAGTGGCGATGCGCAGAGAAGGCGGTAGAGGATCATATAACGATGGCTAGGGCTCAGGAAGGAAAGGAGACTGGCGTTGAGGTGTCGACAGCTTTACGTGGACCATCTTGCTTTCAAGGAACGGCAAAGGCGTCACAATTGTTTGACGGGGCAGTGAAAGGGCCTTTCTTTGCTGCGAACGTCATTTTCGCTATCTAGGAATACTATGCAATGGCTAAGCTATGTTAAACGCCAACAAATGCCCATGAAACCAACCTCTTGGTCGTTTCCTACTATCCAATCTGGCCCTTTTACATGGCCCAATTTATGACATCTCTTGCTCAAGCATGGGCAATACCTCAAGCTCCCTCTGAATAATTCTCTCAAACTCCTCCCTGTCTATGCCCGATGCTCTCGCCAACCGGAACAGGCTCTTGATATCCGTGCTGATATGTTGCTTGATCGCAAGCTCGGCCTGGCTGTAGTTCTCTGCCTTTCGCTCTAGCCTCTCGACCGAGTTGGTCGATGCCGAAGAAGAGGGCCGAGGGTGGCTCAGGGCGTTTGCGGTAGCGCCTTGGTCCTGCTCAATGGACTCGAGATGTACCGCGCTGTCGTTACCATGAACGCCGCTGCCGTTCAGGAGACCGCTTGTGTATGCTGGTGGCATCGACGAGTCGTAGCCGTTCGGGCCCAGGTTCGTTGTGTCGAGGGGCTCGGTCTGCGGTTCGCGCGTGTAGCTCAGAGCGTTGCCATTGAGTGTCGACTCGCCAGCTGCAGGCTCCTCTTCGTCTGGGTCGTGCGCATCGAGCGCGGGCTGCACTTCCGACGCGTAGCGCTCGAAATACTCGAGCTCTGACTGCGACGGTCCGATCTGCGTCCGGCCGCTGGTTCCTGGCGCGGGGGATCGCCTAGGCTGTGGTGTTCGCCCGGGCGTCTGGTCGTATGCAGCCCAGTAAGAACCGTCGTCCTCTTCTTCTGCTTCCTCCTCAGCGGGTTCGGGTTGGACCACGGCTTGGTAGGGTGCGACGCCGTTGCTCTTGACCGACACAGACTTTCGCCTGAAGCCAGCCTCGTCAGCAGTGGGAACGTTCTCGAACCACTCGGTGCCGTCGTCAGCATCTTCTGTTCCTCTCAGCTCAGCCAATAGCCAGCGGCTTCCGCCTTCTCCACCTGTGCACCAGAGGTATGTTGGGATGATTCCATATTCACCCAGTATCAACTTGGCGTGTAAGGTCTCGGGGTCTGATCGTCGGTACAGTATTTGATCTGGTTCCTCCACTTCAATCTCCCCGGAAGCTGGGTGAGGTTCGACATTTATCTTCTCGATGATTTGCGGTAGTCGTGACGCGATGTCTCGGTCCCAGCACAACAGAGACAACCACTCGTTGGAAGACAGAAGCTGTACGCGTTGGCGGAGGATAGGCGATAGGAGGGGTAGAAGACCCGGGGGTACGTCTTTTGAGGCATTTGCTGTCGACAGACAGGCCAGCAGTGGCGGAAGCAGTTCCCTGGAATCGGGCCGTGGGATGATTTCGTTGAGCCCAGGCATGGCAGCGGTGTGGAAAGATAAGTTGGGTATGGTGTGAAAGGTTGATCGCACTGATTATGCCCACTCGAGAATACAAGGAGCGTCTAGTATCTGGTACTGCGATCGTAGAGTCGATTGCTCCTAAGAAAGACGCCGTAATAGACAAGCCTAGGACGTTTCGTAGGCTTTGTGCTTTTCGCGTCTTTATTGTTTTGCAGAAGCCCGTACACTTCAGGCGCTTGCCGCTAGCACAGTACTGTTAGGTGTTGTGCAACGCTCCAACGCTCTGTGGTGCTGTTCGTGCTGCGTGTAGGGTGCGGGCTCCGTCTGGTGATGCTGTCACATGCGAATGTGGCCAGTGACGCGCAGAAATTCGCTGACGCAGATGCGGGGAAGAGAGGAAGCGATAATTGGCAGACTGTAAGATGGAAGTGAAAAAGGAAGAGGAAGAAGAAGCGCTCTGAGGCACATCTCGTTCCATTTTCGCGTCCAGCGGTGCTGCAGAAAGAGTGGATGCTGCTGTTGTTAGCCTCCGCTCCACCGAAGGGTGACTGCCGTTAGACACACCGGTTGCGACTGCCCGCACGCCTGGATCGCGACCATGGAAATGGTTAGCCCCATCTCCGAGCCTCATCAATCAGACACACTCTACATCCCATGCCCCGATGCGCCCAGAGCTCGCGGACTTTCCTCGACAAAGATTCCAAGGTTCGCAAGAAATTATTCCGTCGGCTTGAGAGTGCTTTGGCCGTTCCTGGCCTCACCATTGCGAGGTAGGGTAAGCAGACATCTGCAGTACATGTTCGGTACATCCAATCTGCACAAGCACTTCAATACCAGGTACGCTCTATCTCACGATGGCATCAAAAGTCCGCGGGAGAGGCCTGCAGTGACGTCAGCTTTTGCGATCGCCAGCCCTGGATCGACACAACATCTGCACAAGACCCTCATTCCGGGTACCTTACATGTTCCGGTAGTAGTACTCGAAAAGCTGTTGCGACATCCATAGCCTGGCTCGGATCTTCCGCCTGCGGCTGCGTCTCACCTGGCGCCGGCATGCCAACTCGACTGCTACCTTAACAATCTCGCGATGAGGACTATATGCATAGCCCGCTAGACCCAGCGGCGCGTTTCATGGCCACTGAAATCAGACCATTGCTGTCACTCGTGGCTTCGGCGTCTACCACAGTATGCGGCACTCGCAGCTATATATCACAACCTATGAGTGCGGCGCACTATACTTGTATCGTTTCCAGGCGAAGCGATCCTGCCATTTCCGCCATACTACTCGCCCGCAGCAACATGACAGCATGGTTCTCGAGACCTAGCCTAGATCAAGGTAGTGTACGCTGAAGACAGCAGGTCGATGTGCTCCTTCGCCATATTCCCGTGAGCCCCACAACAGCCCGGGAGACCATCCGGCTTCGCTCATAATCCAAAACTGGGGCCAGCCACTACCTTATCCGCTTGCGACGTGGCTAGGAAAGCTTCATCTCTAGGCGTGGCTGAATCGCTGATCATGCAAGGCAGTCCATGCTACTATATGCCGTCACATCGCGACATTCGCAAATCAGCGACGCGAACAGCAGCGCAACCTCGTCCGTGTTGTCCATCGCACGCGTCTGATTACTAGCAGGCTTGCTACGTCGCTGGTATGCTCTCCAGAAGAGCAGTTTTAGGCTTGGCCTGCCTTTATATAGCATCAGCGTTCGGCTGCTAAACAGCTAAGCGCCAGCCTACGCGGGCGCACAACAAAGGCCGCTGCATGTTTCGCACCTCGAGCGCGGTTTGGAGTGACCGCCTCAGTAGATTTTGATGACAGGAGTTACTACAAGCATCACGCATAGCAGGTTGAATTCGCCATGAGGATATCATCTTGAAGCATAGCCACCCGCTCGCCCCATGTTCAGCCCCCTGCTCCCGCTTCTGTATAGCAACTGAGGCTGTGCCGTTTGTATCAAGCCTGCCAAGAGCGTGTCACGCATCTGCAAATCTGCCTCGAGACGCCAGTCAAGCTCACAGCTACCGTCGCGCCGTCGCGCTTGTTTTCGGTCGTTCTGCCTCTTTCTCACGACCTCATAGACATCTGGACTGCCTGCGCCCACATTGTTTCGAGACGGCGAACTTCTGCTTGGCGTGCATCGCTCTACCCCGGTCTTACCATTCTGGAGATCTTGGGGGGAATCAGCCTTGACCGGTGCCTCGACTTTCGCTCGTTGCTGCCGCTGGCTCCACCGTCGACATCGAAATCCACTCTGTTTCTACCAACCATCCAAGCACTTTACGCCGCTTCTCTGTTGTTCGCGCGCGCCGTCTCCCGATTTCGCTCGCGACCCACCCTGAAGCTGTCAACATCGTAGAGTGCCGGCACTGCCTCTAGCCTCAACGGCTCCAAACTTCCGTCCTGTGCGAGGCAGATCGCCATCCAGCTTCAAGCTACAGCAGCCTGTCCTCTTTCGCTTTCAGCCGCACTGCGATATTTCTCTCCCTCGTTCCGCCATCCCACCAACCTATCTGGGTAACTGGACGCGCTGCGACACTTTCCCCTCATCTGGTTTTCTGACTTTCGCAATATTCAACATCAGTAACCTTCAGGCAGCACTATGCCGCCCTAAGCAGCGCTGGCTACAGTCACGTTACCCTCCACACCACCCTGCCCGTCGCAACCATTTGTTGATCGTCGCGACCTAATCTACTATCGACTCCACTTTCAGGTTGTTCGTTACAGCCAAAATAATCATGCAAGCAGTCGATACGCATACACAGCCCTACCAGGACCCTCGGCGTCAGCCACGCCACCCTCAGGATGTGCAGACTAGCGGCTATCAACTTGCGCCTACTGGCGGCAACTTCCTAATGCCAGACGCGCAAGGCACATTCACGTACTCTGCAGAGCCGACATCCATGGTTTACGATGGGTCCATGGTATCGCTTCCCTCATCCAGCACCCCTGGGCAGGAATCCATCTTCACTCCTAACGTTGGATCCTCTCTCGACTCCTCATTACATCCGGACATGTCATATCCACCACCGAATGCCTACAATCAAGTTCAAAACTACGGTCTTTCTCCGGGATCCTACTACGGAAACGGACAGAACATCTCGCCCTCGCATTCAGTTGAGCATTTTAGCCCAGAAACAGGTTATATGAGCGATCCCAGTCACCACGATCTCAGCGCTTATGCAACACCAAACTTCAATGGACACGTTCTCGATGAATTCTCTGGCCTGACTTTTGCCGATAACGGTTCGGCCAGTAATTTTCCGGCATTCCAAGAGCATGTTGACATGTCAGCCTTGACCTCAGGGACGCTGAACACGTACAACGCTCAGCCAAGCAACCACCTCAATAACACTTCGCTAAACCCGCACCATCAATTAATGTCGCCCAGTGCGACGAACAATTCCAGTCCGGCACTAGGCGATGAGAGCTCAGCCTTCCCCTCTATGCAGTACAACGGGAACATGTCGACGCCGCCAAACCAAGCGAATCATCTGCCGCATACAACACCTATCAAGCAAACACACAGTCCAGCTCTAACGAATAGTCCCGGAAACGTGTCAATGGCAAACCCAAGGCCCCTCACGCGACATTTGACGAGTCCCATTGTACGTGTGGAGAACTATAGCAGAGAAGATTCGCCTTCGCGTTCCGACAATAGCATGCCTGTCAGCAAGCACAGCTATGGCAGTCGTCATTCTGGTAATCACCTATCACCGTATGCCCATAACGGTGACTCGGATAGTGAAGCGGAGCCTCACGAGAACGTGCATTCGCGACCAGGAGTCCGTGGACCCGATCGCAACGAGGATGGCTCCTGGCTCACGACAGGACAGTCGGGGCAGAACGGTATCAACCCTGACGAGCGCCGCCGGATGGGTGACGCATGGATCCCCAGCATAGAGGAAATTGCAGAGCAACGCTCGAAGGATGAGAAGAAGCTTGAAGTGCAGGAGTGGCTCACTAAGAGTGAGGTCGGAAGCGAGGCAGGCGACGCAGGGCCTTCGAACAATCTACTCAAGCCCATTACAGGTCGACGTCGAGCGAAGAGTCACAACGACATTCAACGCCGGGCTCTCCCAGATAGCTTCGGGCTGGGTGTGCGTACCAATTTCGACCGTATAGATGATTCGGGCATACCTGGACCTGGGGTGTACATTGACGAACGAAGCGATTACGGCGACTACGACTACGACGATGACGAGTCGGCAGAACCTGAATCCCCACCCGCTGCGATCGATATCAGCGCAAGCCATGTAGAAAACTCGTACTTTCCTCCGACACAAGAACTTATACCAAAGGATGGTACTGCTGTCAAGCCATGGGTAGATGGACCGTTACAGCCGCATCCGCCAAACCCATCAACTCGATATCAGCCGCCCACATCCAATGCTGCGATGATGCGCTTCTTGGTGCGAGCAAAGGACGTTGAACAAGCTTCACTTGCGGCAACCGTTGGCTCACGCCGTCTCAGCGAGTCTGACATTGGTAGCATACGTGCAGCTCCCGGTGTTATCAAAGTCATCGAACCCGAGCCAAGAAAGAGCAAGGAGCGACAACGGCGGCCCAGCTTCTTGGAAAACATTCTACCCAAACGTACACCAAGCAATATACTCAAGCGCAAGGGCAGTATACCAGTGCAGCAGTCTGATGCAGCCTCGGACAAGTCCAAGGAGCCCATCATGGAGAAGCCGAAACGTATAGGTAGTTGGGGTCGTCCAAAATCTCCTCGAGTTGACACAAACCTAAGCAGTCATAGCAAGGACGGGGGACAACTTAGTTCAGTAGGTCTGTCTGCGGCAGCGGGCCCGTGGTACAAAGGTCCCAAAAATGCCATCAGACGTACTCGAAGCAGGAGCGATATCGGGAGAGGGAGATCGCCTGGGCTGGCTGAGCTGATGACGCAGCACGGAGGTCCACCGATGCCTATGTTAGCTTCACCGCTCGCGGACACAGAGGCCACGAAGCCTTCCGCACAGCCAAGTCCAGCTGGAGACGATGATGAAGATGACCAAGACCC